TCATGACTTCAGACAACAACAAACCACAGTGAACAATAGTCAAACATGAACGAAGAAGCTGATGAGACCGCTTTGGTTGGCCCCGTGGATGGGACATTTTGTTTTAAAAAACGGACGGATGGAAGCGTTGATAAGAGCACGGTTGTTTGCAAATTATGCAAAAAGGAATTTGCGTATCACCGCAGCACATCAAGCCTCAAGTATCACCTCCATGCAAAACCAGCTAGCGTGGACGTTAGCCCGACTCGGAGTACAAGGACCCACACCCAATTCGCGTTGATCAAACAGTGGCCTATGCAACAGAGAGATTTTATTTTTCATCAGGATATTGGAAGAATAGGAGGGATTGAGGTCAATCACTGGCACTTTTTTATTTTATTTTAAATGGTACACTTTATGTTGAACTATTTATTACGTTGTTGGTGCAACTGGCACTTTATGTTGAACTGTTTATTGTTTTGGCCAAGGTTATTGAGAGAGTTGGACTGAAATGTATTAGATTTTTTAAATCAACTGTTGGTAAATCAACAAAGTCTGTTATGGCCTCTGAAGCAACAGAGAGATGTTTTCTAATAGTCAGGGTTTCCAATGTTCTGAATGTACTTGAAAGTATTGTGTTTTACTTAAAAAACAAAGTGTTATAGTTTACAGAAGGTCTACCTACCTATAGGCTACCTGAATCTCTGAAATGTACTATATTCCTAAATATGCTATTGCTACACTTTATGGCAAAAATTGCACTTTTCTGTTGGTCTTCGTTAAGTACCACCTTGAAAAAAATAAACAATGTTTTGTTGCTTAAGCTTATGTATTCAGTCATTATTCAATGGTATACTAAAATCCATGTGAAAAAAATTGCTTCTCACTGTTCTCAGGTCAAATATTTATATGTTATTAAAAATGCGATTAATTGCGATTAATTAATTACAAAGCCTGTAATTAATTAATTTTTTTAATCGAGTCCCGGCCCTAATATATATATATTTGAATAATAAATACATTTTTTATAAATATTTATATTTGATTTCATTTAAGCCTTTTTCTAAAGAAATGTATATTACTGCTTTATTCGAGACCAAATGATTTGTTATCCAATGTTATTTTGATAATGAAATGTTGGTCATTTTTCATATACGTTACAAAATTATCTTGTTATAGGCCTGAGCTTGTTAAATAGTAAACTGATGACAAAACAAAATCAGTAAAATTAGAACATAAACTAATGTTTTAAAAGCAAATAACTGAAATAAAATAAGGGAGGAATACAAATAATTGGGGATGGGACATTATGATCCTCACTAGCTGTCTTTATTGTTTACATAAACAAACTTTTCATAATGCAGTAATTATTTAATGCATATTATTCATTAAGGGATTTATCAAAGTGCCTCTAAATATATGCTTCTAATCAATATCTAATATTTATTTCTAGAAGATTATTAGGACATTACTGAAAAATAACAGTTTTTCTTCCAACCCATCTTCATAAATCTTGTGATATTACATCCCTGATCAGAATCAGAATCAGGTTTTGTACCAGGTAGGTTCACACGTACGAGGAATTTGACTTGGTGTCAGGGTGCATACATAAAAGTAAAACAAGAATTAAAAACACAGAACTATTTCACGAAAACTATAATAACATTACAAAAAAATATATATATATATATATATAGTCAAATATAGCAGTATTTACATAGAAATAGAATGGAATAAAATATGGAATAAAATGTGTCAGTAATAAAAAAAAGAAAACAGATATTGTGTACATTGTGTGCATGTTGCCTTTGGGAGGAAATGAAAGCCTGTGAGCGGTGTACCTGCCACAGTGAAGCGGTCCATGTAGTTGAGCAGGTTGATGTAGCAGAGGACGAGGACGGTCAGCAGGGCTCGGACCTTCGACACGCCGCTCGCCTCCTCCTCCTCCTGCGGGCGACGAGCCCCCCCGCCCTGCTCCTCAGGACCCTCCGCCTCGCTCTCATCGGAGAAGAACGGCACCACGTCCGACGCCTGCTCGCTCAGAGACATGGCCGCCGCTGAGGGGGGGGGGTCAACAGAGACGGTGAGTGGAGAGTCAAGGGACTGCCATGAAAATACACTATTAGAATATAGGAGAATTATCACAGAAGTAATGTGGAGAGATAAGAGAAAGGAATACAATTAATCAGGGCAAAGCAATAAGAATAAGTCAAATGAAGAGGATCAAACTAAAATATTTAACTTTTTTTTTTTTTTTTAAATCATTATAAAAGAAATATCTTAAGAAAATCCAATAATACATAACTATCCAATTCTAAATATATTTTCAAATTAATTGAGAAATAAATCAATAAATAAACGCTAATATAAATTAAGATGCTTAGAATTATTATTTTATACGGTGTTATGGTTTATTAAATATTTTATTTGTTCCTTTTTATAATTCTTTTAAATGTGGTTATTTATTCTCTTTTATTTCTATTTTTATTTACATTTGTCTTTATATTCCTACATTCATTGAAACTTTTTTTGTTTACAGATGTGTCCTTCTTTTTCGCACTGTGCAAAGTGTCAGGATAGATAGAAATGAATTTGAAAGTGAAACATAAAACAATGAATCGTTCTGTGTCATGTGTTTGGCCTGAATGAGTGGTGCAAACAAACGGTGGCAGCAGCTGCACCGGAGAATCAGGTCTACTGATCATGTGGGACTGAAGTGACACTAAACACTCACATGAACAACATCTCACTCATCCCCGTAGGAAGGGTTGGTGTTCTGGTGCCTCACAACAGTGAATCAAAGTACATTTGTTGCGTTGAACATTTTACAAATATTGTATTTGTCATTTATGGAGGTCAGGAGAGGCCAAAATAAACAATAAATGAGTAAATTAATTAATATGCAATTAAATGCGCAAAAATAATCATAAAAAATACGTTCAGGCTTTAATTGATATGTTAACTTCCCAGATAAATCAAAAGTGAAAAATGTCCGACGCAATTTCTCAAATTGTACGGGTCATCTTTAAATGTTTTGTTTTGTCAGTCCATAATAATAATAATAATAATAATAATAATCACTTCTTATGATAAACACTGAGAATTTCCACATTTCAAACAAAGCTTTTTCTGAGATGATTGAATTCATAGTGACTCTAACGGATATTTACTTGTCATAAAAGAAAAATGTTCTGTTCATTCTGTCCAAAAATAGATATTTGAAGCTTTGTTTTTTACAAGACCGATTTAAAGTGCTGCATAGGGGTATTATATAGTTGGGGGATAAGCTATATTGTGTTATAAATAACATTAATTATAAAGAAGAAAGATAATCCATAACAAAATATAATAATGTAATAATCGTATGGTTTAGAGACTATGGCTGAAAGGCATCAGCAAGGATTTATTTCTAAGAATAAATCATGTTGCACAAAACGTTAACCCATCGAACAATTAAGATTACAAAATGTGTAACACTTGTCTCGAAACAGAAAAATCAATGTTAAGTCTGTTGCACGAAAACAATTTAAAATGGGATCAAGCATTAACTTTGAACTAATAATGACTGACTTTTTGAGACAAATCTATGCAAAATAATCACTTTCTTGACGCACATTAAAGGACAGAAAAAGGAAGAGAGATTTGAGCTTCTCTGTCGAGCCATCATGAGTAATGTTAGTTTCACTAAACTGAGCCCAGTTACAAGACATCCCCTCGGACTGGGATGGTTTTCTTTTCTCACATTCATCTAAAAAAAAAAAATGGTAAATGAGATCAAAAATATTTAACATGATAATCAGTGACGACGATACATGAAAGAAGAAGATGATAATCAGTGAGGTTTTGTTATCTTAGCTCAGAACCATGCTAACATAGCCCCCCAGTCTATATGCTAAGCTAAGCAACAGTACTTGAGTAAATGTACTTCATAACATTTAAATACAATTTAAAATAAAACTACTCATTAATTCTACTCAGAGTACCTTAAAAGGCAACTTCACTGCCTGCAGAAAAAATGTCTGGTGCTGTACAGAAGTGAAGAAGAGGAAGACGTGACCAGAGAAAGTCATGTGATCACTAAACACAATAGCCAGGAGCTCATGACAAAGAAGGCTTCTCAATTCTCTAATTCCCCTCCTCGACTCCTATCCTCGTGTCTTAGTCCCACCCACAGAAGATGCGAGCGGAGGAGTCGAGGAGGGGAACCGAGGAAAGAGGAGTGGAAGCAGCAGGCGTTTAGAGAAATGAGAACTCCTCTCATCTGAGCGGTCATTTTAAAGAGACGTCTGGACAGATGTGTTCATGACGACGGTATAATGAGACAATAACAGGCTACAGATGCAGACATATACACACACATATATTTATATAAATATATACAATTTCAGAATCAAACAAGTGTGAGAGTACGCTCATAACACAATCAGAGATTGGATATATTGCTCCATTCAAAAGCGCATTTCATTGATCATAGGGTTATCAGTTTCAGGACATGATCAGATCATTCATCTCAGTAATCCACACAATTTCTTTTCGGATGTTCCTATAACTGGCATTGTAACTTCTTTAGAGACTCACGCGCTGTGTGCGCACGAGTAAATAATAAGCCACTGCTAAATATAGGCTACCAACAGTTAACCTACTTGTTGGACACCACTCCAGACATTTGTAGGTACTCTGCGTTGCATACAACGTTACTTTTAGAGTGGTGATGAAATGTCTTGGGAAGTTTAAAAGGTGTGTAATGCAAAACTCGACACGTCTTTAAGATGATTCTGAAACAATATGAACGACAGTTCAGACTCAATTCAGAATTCTGCCTGTTTTATGTACCTCGGTTTGCAACGAACTAAACGTTATATAAAACAAGTAAAACAATTAAAAGGTGATATTTAAATTAAATGATGCATTCGGCCAACTCAACAGATGGTTTCACCAACGCTTCTTTATAACCTATGAATATTTTCTACAACGCTCAATGTGAAAAACAGTTCACCGGGAAAACAATACATCGCCTTCATAACAGTTGAAAACACGTCGCTAAAATATTATCACGAAAAAACGTAAAAATGACACTATATTGATTGCGTGTAAATGATGCAGGACGGTATGCTTACAATAAATAAATTATGCTTAATAATGTTTTAAATATAAAAAGCAGACAATAAAGCGAGGCTAAATTCGCAATATTTTGAATGGAGTCTGGCATGAGATGTCTCGCCACGCCAAGTACAAGATAAAGGTACGTAGCGAAGTTTATCAAACCTTGAGTCTTATCCGTCTTTATGAGGAAACTCATGTGTGTAATACTTGTTGTTCATTTGATGCAGATAATACGCAGCTAACTGTGGTCCAGTGACCGTTCACAGTGAGCGTGTTAGCCCGTTGTTGGTGTTGTTTACCTGAGAAGATGAGTAAGGGCTCTCGCTTCCCTCTTCTCGCTGCCGCCGCCTCAAATATCGTCTTTGTCACACCGAGCTGTGAATTTTATTCAAACTCCATTTTGTTGCTTCAATAAAAAATGCTACTTCCTAAGAATAATCTTTACCATGACGCGATTTAAAATATAAAATCTTAACTCCAGGAGACTTCAGAGAAGACAATTGTGCACCGCGGCCATGTTGGCTCTGACCAAACTTCCGCTTCGCAACTCACATGACTCTGTGAAGTCATTGACACGTGACAATAATAATGAAATGATTAATCTAATCAGTTGGATAAAAACAGTTATTTACATCATAATTGTGTCGTGTATTCATTTCAGGCTTTATTATTAATTACGTGGTGGGGAATTTGTATTATTTGATGAGTATATCTTTATTGCCAAAGCATATTTATTTATTGCATGTGTATGTTCTTTAATTACATAGCACACATTTAAATCATAATAGGTATATATATTTTACTTTAAAATACAAATTGATTTATTTCATAGCCTTTTTTATTTTACAGGAAGATTTATAAATTCTTAGTCATTACGTATATTTGTTTATTTCATAGCCATATTTGTTGTATAGTCATGTTTATTTATTTCATAGCCATATTTAAATATCTTCTGCATTTTAATTTATTTTGTAGCCATTAGTATTTATGAGTTTTAATTTCTATCCATATTTACCTAGGATAGATCATAGGCATATTTATTATTTCAGTGACATATTGATCTATTTTATGGACATAATTATTTAATATACATATTTTATTTATTCAAAGCCAATTATTTTAATGTCATAGAGATAGTTATTCATTTCAGTCATATTTTTCTATTTCCAAATGCATACATATTTATTTCATAAGCTTAGTTATTTAATTCATAGCCATATTTATTTTTCTTTTATATATTCTAGCCATATTTATATGTCTATGAATTTATTATATGGCAATTCATAGTTTCTGGAAAAATAAAAGATGACAAAAGATGACCATTGTAACAATAAAACTAAAGAGATTTTAAATGAATGGATGAAAAAAAAAACATTTTGATAGTAAACAACATTTTGAATGTAGGACTTTTACTTTGCAATATTTTAACAATGTGGTTCCGTTTCTTTTGTAATAATATATAAATACTTCTTCCACTATGACTTCAGTAACTTCTAATAATTTTATTATTTCCAGTAACAGTAACAAATTATTATTGTACAGTCACAAAAACATTACAAGTATACAATTGTACAATGACGGCTTATTTACTTTAAAAAAATGTGTTATCATATAACCCCTATTATAACCCTATTAACTCTGTATTTAACATCTACAAATAAAGTGACTTTTACAGATAATGTAACTGCACTACCAAACCAGTAGATTTCCATTGTTTTTTGTTTTATTATTGCGGAAAATAAGCTCTGTGGCAGACAAACATTAATGATACTTACACGTTTGATTCCGCATTATAATTTATAGATATTAACGCTACTGTATGATTGTTGAAGCCTAAAAGCAATTTCCAGAAGTAAAAAGTTAACGTTATGCTAAACGGTCACATTCCTTTTTGTCACCACGCAAAGCTAAATGCGGCTAATGTTCGCTGTGATGGCGTTTAGTAGTCTCATCTAGCTACTTGTTAGCAACCGCTGCTTTTAAGAAATGTAGAAGATTGAAAAGTGGGGTAATAAAACCTTAAATCTCTTAAGCTTAACATTCCAAAAAAACGTTGAATGAGAGCTAAAATGAAATGAAAAACGAATTTCAGGGGTGTAGACTCATCCCTGCAGCACGCTATGGTTAATGCAAAATTAATTGATCTAGGTCCAAACTTCGATGATGTCACCGTCCTCCATGTCGAGCTGTGCCGGAGTCTGCCTGTCCGTCACTTTGCAGCCATCAAAGTGGAAGCGCACCTTACTCTTGGCGGGGGCGGACATCTTGGACATGTACTGGGAGAAGATGGAGCCCAGCGGAGCATCCTGAAAAACACACACACATTATTATTATCATTGTAATAATTATTAATATAATAATCTTTAATAATAACAAAATAATAAATACATATACTCTAGTTCTTACTTCCCCTACCAGCAGCTAAAACCATATTAAAAACGGCTAAATCAAAAAAGGGACTACAATTCCCATCATGCCTATTAAGAGAAATAACTTTGGGCAACCTGTGTGGTAGTACAGTGAGCACATTTTATAACAAATAAACCTTTTGTTTATCAAATATATAGTTTATTTTACTTTGTTCTAAAATAGAGAACATTTTACAAAATCATATTCCAGCCTGGGAAAAATAAAGAATTCTGATTCTGTTGTAAATTCTGTTCCAAGTTCACATTGAAGGTACTTGAGAATTGTTATTTTATGCTACTTTATACTTTTACTAAACTAGAATCTTGGTAAAAAATGTTGTACTTTTTACTCAATTACATTTATTTGAAAGCTTAAGTTACTGGATACTTTGCAGATTAGGATCATATTACAAAATCTATATCAACTAATACATTATGATATTATCATAGGGTAAGCTACGCAGTAGTATATCAAATAATTTAATAAACCCCACATTTACCAGCTGTAAAACTGAAGTGATGAACACAATAAGGCATCTATGTTTATAATTTAATAATAACATATATATCATTCTTCATGTTGGTACTTCATGTGTTCGGTTCTTCAAGTATATTTAGATGTTAACACGTTTGTACTTTTACGTAAGGTAGGTTTTAATGCAGGCTTTAACATGAGTATATTTGCATTGTTGTATTGCTATTTTTAACTTAAAAGTCTATTGCTATTTTTAGGCATATATTATGGGTTTCAGATATATAAAAAACATGTCTGTTTGCTCAAAATACCAAACGGATCATACATTTTAGACATCCCTCATATCCCTCTATTTCAGCCCTGTTAGAGAAATGCTGATTCTGGGTCAGTAGCTGCTGGCCCCGCCCCCTTTAGAGCATGCAGGCACACTGTGAGGTCTGTGACGAGCTGTCTGATCTGCTCAGATGCAGCTAAATGCTGCCATGATTAAACACCATATCATGTTCCAAACCACATCAAGGATTATTTCTGAAACAGTATGGAGCTCAAATGCTTTTTCTCTTGCGGGTTTACTACAAGGTGAGTTCCTTTTTATTTCCTGCTTTTTTACACCAACTCTCTCCAGTACAGGTTAGCTCAGAGTGTTAGCGATGCTTGCTAATGTAAACAAAGACCATATTACTTCCAAAACACGTTGTGCATTGTTTCTGATAGCAACTTTCTGATAGGGCCGTGGGTGTAAAGCCAGCCCACATTTCTGATATTACGTCATATCGGCAGCAAATCTGGATCAGCTCCGTTGTACCCCCTTTTTTAGAGATTTAGGTACGGAAGAAAAGAGAAAGGGTTTGTGAGTTCCCTGACACACCGGGGACACATATTTATGTATAAAAAGGCATTAAAAAGTGCATTTTGCATGATAGGAGCTTTAAGTTCCAAATATGTGATTACTTCTTCCAACATTGATAATAATGTGCTGCTGCTGGAACAATAAGAAAGCTGGTGCTAGAAAGAAGAAGAAGAGGAGGAAGAAGAAGAGGAGGAGCAGAAGCTGTACGCACTCTGTGCAGAGAGAACTCCTGAGAGGAGTCTCTGTCTTTGCTCTGCAGCCTCACAGTCAGGCTGCTGCTGCTCTTTGTGGCGCTGCTATCTTCTGCTGCCATCACCACACACTCTGCACGGCACACATGAGAGAGAGTTAGTGAACAGTTATAAAGTTTAATAATGTGCTGCCATGTGCAACTTAAAACATTGTGCAATGCATGTGTGTAAATCTTTTTTTGTTATTCGACCAACTAGTTGCTCTAACTGAAGAACATATATACACAGATACAAATTATGTAAACGATAATACAAAAAGAAAGAGAAAAATGGTAGGGAGTCCCTTGCCCACGCCTTAATAAATATAGTATTTGGGAGTTTCCATCATGTTACACATTTTTTTTGGGCTGCAGTCAAACCAGCGAAGACCCGCCTTTTCTGATGGTTTAGTAGGTTAAGAGAGGAATCATCATTCAACAATACAATATTTGGGAGACAGGGTATGTGAACTCCAATAATCTCAGATACAATGTCAATCACTTGTTTCCAGAACTTTCTAACTGCAGTGCATTCATAAAACATGTTCCAATAGTCCCTTGGTAACACAGAAGGCATATGGGGCTTGGAATCATCCTTAGTTGACAGCATTTCCTGGTTGACAGGTAATATCTGTGTATTTTATACTGTATCAATTGTTGATGTGGATATGTGAAGTTATTCTATATTCTCTTCCAATCAATAGCCTGTGTGTAGTTTTTTCGATATGCGGACCATACTGCAGAGATGCCAATATATCCGGTTGAACTTTCCTGCAGCTTTTTATATATATTATATATATATATATTATAAGGAAATTTGTGTTTTGTAGATTATTTAATTGTTGTAATTGCAAGATGTTTCTTTAACCCCTAAATAGGTAGGAAATAATTAAAGAAGGAAATTGGAGCAGAGTGTTCACTAATGTGAGCCCTGCTCCAATTATATTGGTGCCCTAAACCAGGGGTCCCCAAACTTTGCCATGCCAAGGACCCCTATATAGCATTATCCTCTGGCGGGGACCCCCCTGTTGCAACTTTTTTTTTTTAATGATGTGTAAAAGTTAGGGGTGTTGAAAATAATCGTTTCTACGATGCATTGCGATGCGGACGTGGAAGATTCGGTATCGATGCAGTGACGGAAGATAACCGATTAATCACGTGGTAGATTTTCCGGCAGCAGCTGGACAATAAAGTTTTTTTGTTTGTTTTTTAAACGTCACGGTAGCAACGTAGCATTGCATTGTGGGTTACCGAGCTAGTGCAATAATGGAGGGAGGCGAAAGCAGTGGGCAAATAATAAAAAACGCTCCTAGTGTTGTGAAAGCAGACATCTGGGCCCATTATGGGTTTTATGAACTAAAAGGGAAAAATGAACTGGACAAGTTGCACGCTGTATGTAAAGTGTGTCTGTGAGACTGACCGTTGAGCGGCCCGACCAAGCAAGGAGGTAGAGGCAGAACGTCCAAAAATATAACCCGACGTGGGCATTTATTAAAACAATGTGCACAAAGTTCACACAGCCTCAATCCTGCTGCTGTTCACGGGAGCCCAGCCTGCAGCCACAAGGATCTCACACACACTCCCAGCCCAACAAGAAACAGCACTTAAATACACAGACTAACAAGACACAGGTGAGGGGGAGCAATTAGACACAGGTGAGGGGGGAGGAGACAACACAGGGCACCAGGTGAACACAATTGGGTAATCAGTAGGAGGGAACACAGAGACGACCGGAAGCAACAGACAAGATGGGGGTGAACACTTATACCAAATAAATACTACATCAATAAATTATATAAACATGTTCACGAGAGCTCTAGTAACGGCGTCTCGTCATTACAGTGTCACACAAAAATAAAATACCTTGGTGGAAATACCACTAACTTGAGGAACCACCTTAGCCGTTTTCACTGTGAGAAGCTAACGTCTGCCACC